TCGCTTGACATAATATATATATATCTTGCCTCTTGAAAAAACGTTTCGCGAATTGCTTCGTATACAAAATTCAAAAATATACATGTAATCAATGGAACAACTTAACGTCGTATTTAATCGTAATTAGCGTAACAAATCGATAACATTATCTCGCGTTGCGTTCCATTATCCGATGCCACTCGAGCGAATTTCCGTTTAATTTCCATGAATTTTCGTAACGACGAGAGAATGCACTGAGAAAGATGAAAGTAACGAAGGTAACGAGACTCAACGTGACATGAGCTTTTTTTCTGAACGTTTGAAACTTCGCGCAACAACACCGGCCGCAGTTATAGTTTTAAAGTAAGGTGGACGTTTGGACCCCGACGTATTCCCTTACCTTCTCGTTCTGAACACAATGGAACACAAAGATAAACAGCCCCTGCAGACTATTCAATATGGTGAAGATGTACGCCATCACGACGGACTCTTGGTTCAAGTAGAGGAGCCCGAATGTCCAGGTGAGTCCCAGTAGAAAGACCAGGACGATCGCGCCTCTCAGCCATGCCCTGTCCGAGGAAAACATTAGAGAAAAAAAAATTATGAATTACACCGTAATCGAACGTTCTTAAGACGAGAGATAATCGCGAGCGATGCTTAAAGGAGCGTGAACGAGCGGTGTTAAAAGTTATTTGTAAATATGAAGGGTGGGTGAAGGGGAGGGCGTTGATAGAGACAGAGTTAAGAAAAAGAAAACAAGGCAATAGAAAAAAACGTTAGTACAACAAGAAAGATAGAGGGGTGGTGGTGGTGGTGGTGGTAGTAGTAGTAAATGGTGAAATGAGAGGAAACGATCTCTTTAGTCTCGTGCCATCGAAAGAGTTAAGGGGTGACGTGCTAAATGATCGATGACGGTGTGACTTTAATTCTAATAATTCCAATGCTACATTTGTCACGTTCTTATCGAAATGGAGCGGCGAGAACACGGAAGATTATCAAAAGGGGGGGAGGGGGGGAGGTGGAAGGTAGAACGGCGTTATGCACCCAAGTGTGCACGCAACATTTCGAGCTTGCGCGACGCTAACGTGTACTAATGTTGCTCGTTTCTACACGTGTGCACGTCTCGTGTACACGCTCCCCGACAATGCATTAGCATCGTTAATGTTTTCGCGAGTCTCGAAGCGGCTTTGGCGTCGCACCTATAAGCATCGCGCACACACACCGTGTACCATCCATTTCTTACTTTCTTCTTCTTTCGCCCCTTCTTCGTCATCTTTTCTTTCTTTCTTTCTTTCTTTTCTATTTTTTTTTTTTGGTAATTTCTTCGTTCTCTACTGGACGAAATATCACGACTACACGGGGATTCGTCTACGAGGGAGAGAATAGGGAAACAGGGAAGCACGAACTCTACAGAGGGTAGGCAGGTGTTTGTTACTTCTAATCTCGCGCGTATTCACTAAGCTACTCTCAAATCAGGCGTTACACCCGAAACTAAAGGATAAATACGGCATGCGGTTTGAATCTCGTCGTGTGTACTCAGAGGAAAGGCAAACGGCGTGACGTAACTAAGGAGTTCAGAGAATATCGATCGTCAGCCACGTGTGTGCTTGTCTCTCACTCTCTCCCTCTCTCTCTCCCTATCTCTCTCTCTCTCTCTCTCTCTCTCTGTCAAGCATTAACCACGAAGACACCTTACTACATAAGCTGTTTGTAATTGCAAATTGCGTCAGGCTCAACTGTTTCAACGCACATAAAACAATAATGATAATAACAATAATAATAGGAATAATAATAATAAGAAGAACAAGAAGAAGAATGAGATACATTTTTGCGATTCCAGTGAGTTGCACGATCGATGGATCTTTAAGTTCGATAAACGATCAACAGCGTGTTTCTTTTTTTTTTTTTTTGTGGTTTTCTTCGCGAACAGACGACTACTACGTTCTACGTTCTACATTCGCAAGAAAGAAAGAAAAAAAAAAATATATATATATATTTATGTATATATTATATGTGTATAGTGGAAAGAATGATCGACAGCGTTGAATGAATAAAGGAAAAAGTGAGAAACGAGAAGAAAAATTGAACGGTGAACGTGTTAAACGAAGAGTGAACGTGTGAAATGAAGAAGAGACGCGGAAAAAACAGATGATTAGTCGTGAATGATGTTCATTAAAGGACGAATGAGAATGTGTGAGTAATAATAAAAATTGGTAAATATCTTACAAGTGCGCTTGCAATTTGTTGGGAAGAGCATTCTCTTCCTTTCCACTACCAACCAACCACGCCATGCAGAAGAATGTAGAACAGTGTAGACAGAAGTGGGTAGAAGATTTAATACAAAAAATGAAACAAGACAGCAAAGTTAGGTGATTGTTCCGGCACCATTTCAATTAATTGATTATTTGACAAAAAAAAAAATATTGAAAAAAAAAAAGAAAAACAAAACTTATACAGTTTCGCTATAGTGTGCAACGCTCGATTCGTGTTACTAACCACGCTGTACAATCCCCGTTAAATACACAACGATAGAACGTCTGAAAATGTGTAATTATGTTTCGATTTGTCAACGCAAAAGGAAAACATGAAAATGACGTAGAAAGAAGGAAATGAAACGAATAAAAAAAACATCAAAAAATACAGAGAGAGAAAAGATGGTTCTTCCTTTCTTTTTTCTTTTTTTTTTTTTGTTTTGCAACGATGAAGCAGCTTTTGATAATAAAACGAGTCGAGTTTGCAGGAAAATTTAACTACCATCACCAACATTTCCATACAGAGATTTATCAAGTTAATACCGTGTCGTTATTACTGTGTCTCTCTCTTCATTCAATAGATTTTTGCTCGTTTCATTTAAATCACAGAAAACACAGAGCATAAACTAATTATCATCGTACTCGCGTTCGATTGTTCGTGCGTCCAATTTCTCGTTGAAGCATGACTCGACTGTGACGGCATTTATTATATATATATATAATAACGGATGTATGTATGTGCACGTTAACGAGCGTTATCAAATCATAAGTACGTACATGTATATTGAAAAATATATAGTATGTATATATAAATATAACCATGTCCATATAATACCTAAGATTTACAGCAATACAAGTGGTGTGTCGAACGAACGGAAATATATCTGCGATCATTCCAACACATTAACTTAATAAAACGGAAATATATAGAAAACGAAAAGAACTCAGCATGGCCGCCAAATAGATGCGTGACAATAAAAGACTCTCTTTTAGGAGGTCTCTTTTAAGCAAGTAAAGCTTGCGAACGTGAACCGAAAGCACCAAAGAAATACTTTGATTTCTACTATCGACGACAGGATTGATATCTCGAACGTATTTACGGACAGACTCGATCGATTATTTCAATATATATACGTAGAGATATATAATGTAATTATATATATATACAGAATTTGTCGTTAGTGTGTATATATTGGAACAAACCCGGATTTCCTAGGCTTACCTTGCACTGGCCAATCGTGAGTGCTCCTTACTCTTCATCGCTACGGTTGTGTTTGCGTGCCGGCACATCATGTAAATCGCCATCGACAGGAATACCAAGTTTGCCTGATGAAAAAATTCGGTAACAGCTTCTATATTGACATTATTCTAACGTGAACGTATGGTAATTAATTGATATTTAATCGAAGCGTGCGATATTAAGTAAGAAAAAAGAAAAGTATCGTCTAGTTTTGCATAACGTGAATTCGACGACGATTTATCTTATATTTCTGTTCTCGCGAAGAGTGATCTTACCAGTATAACGAGTATCACGGGTCCAACGAAGCTGAAGATGAAGTAGTTGTCCGCTCGTAGCCAGCAATATCGATCGGTGCCGTAACTGAGAGGATCGATTATACAAGAAATGGCTACGACCAGCAACGGTGCACCGTAAGCGACCAGATAGTACCAGCGAAGCCTTGACTTCTCCGCTTCGAACACCTCGATAAGCATCACGTATAATTGGAATCCTGTGAGAAAATCAAAAAGGAAATCAAACCAGTTCCTTCGGGATGCTGTTTGTTGTTCGTGATTCTATGACTTTGACAAATGGCCGTGTTACGGATATTGTATTCGAAAAAAAAAAAGAAGGAAAAATACCTTCGAGGAACATCCAGGCGAATGCGCAGAGGAAAAAGAAGTGCAGCAATCCGGCGACGATACCGCAGACAATTCTCTGGTTCGTTTGTCCGATTCCGCAAACGAATAAAATTTCCGCGATCAACAGGCACACACAGAGATTCTTGTGGATGGTGGTTCTGTCAGACTGCGAGAGAATAACGTGACATACAGTAGAAACACGATCGATATCGTTAATATTTCCAATAATTACAATTAAATGTAACATTTCAATAATTACCTTTAGTCCGCGAAATAATTGAAAGGTCAAAATTGCCAGAACAAGGCAGACCACAGAGATAATGCAACCGATGTAAGTGATGATCTGCAAAGCGACCTGATGAGCGATGTCCAATCTAACAGCATGGACGTCCATGAGAACGGCAAAATTCGTGAGATGATTGCATTCGCAAACGGTATGAGTCTCGTTGGTTTTACGTATTTCACAACCCTCTGCCGACCAAGCGCTGTAAAAAAAAAAAAAGAGAGACAATTAAACACTGGATAATGTTAACAAAATAAGATTCTATTTATACGATCAATTGCAACTTGGCGAAGGATAATGACGTAGGTTGTTATCAAACGAATTAAAGTCTAAACGAACCATAGAACACTATCAGCGAATAGGGGCGTAATTACAGTTAATTATTACGGTTGTTATCGATCGTAGTTAGACAGAAACGGGCGGAACTTACCTCAAGATGTAGTCCCAGAACACGCAAGTCGGATTGGTGACGTTCTCAATGGACAGATGCTTGAAGTAGACTCTGACGGGTTCGCTGAGTTGTATGTGCCTTCCTTTGCCCAAAGACGCCGAGATCACTTTGCTGTTCAGAAGCCTGGTCGTGTTCCTTTTCGGCAACGGCTGTGGTTCGTCGTTCATGACCAACGACGATACCTCGGCTTGTGGCTGCAGGATCTCCTCGAGCCTGTCAAAGGCCATGAAGACCAAACGGACAATACCACCCTCGCTGTTCTCTAGCAAAGCTCCTCTGGTCAGCTCGACACGGTCGTTCGAAGCTGTCCACCTCTGTTGAGCTGCCTCCGTTGGGAACACTTCGAGATCGTCGCCGATGTTCCGGGCATCTAACACGCGCACTTCCATTACTGTTCCCAGGGAAATAAAATGCCAGTGTTTATTACATCAGCGACATTCTAAAATATTGGAAAGTAGACGGCGGTGCAGGCTAGACGTCTTAAATGATCGCGGAGGATATACTTCGAACCTGATACAAGGTTTAACGAATCCTCCTCTTACTGTTACTCCGCGCAAACCGGAAACTCAAGTAACCTCTTGGTTTACCAATCACTTCGACGTAACCTTAGTCTTTACTTTCTAACTTTCGGCATGAGATATTCCAAGGAAACGTGTACACGTGGGGCGGCATCGAAGCAAAATTTATATCTCTAGGAAGAGTATATTGGACGGCTCGCGAAGAAGATGGCGTTAACCGAACTCCGTGACATTCGTCAATACATACCACACGACCGTAAAGTTCCGCTATTCGATTCATCTTCCGAACCCTCGGACAATAAAATTAAACGCGCGTAATCCTTCTAACCGACGTCTCTTTTTCTTTTCTTTTTTCTTCTGTCAACGTTGTTGATCCTCTCATCGTATATTCTCCATTCGATCACTCATAAACGTGTGACGGGGAGGAAACTTCGTGTGCACGCCGGCGAATAGTGGTAGCCGGGGCTAGTTTTCTGTTAGCGTGGAAGAAAGAGCACGGTTGGACCGGGGGAATATTATGTTACACGGCATCCGGCCGGCTGTCGCTCATCAAACTCATCTTCTTTTTGCCCTTTACTGTTATGCTATTTATCACGTGCGGATCTAATGTTGCTGCTACTTCGGCCGCGAAGAGTCGCGGCCGTGGAGAAACCCGCTTCCAACAGCCTCAATCACGACCGTTCCACGCGTTACGTTACTTCCAGGAAGTAAGTCAAATTGCTCGTAATTTTCCCGGGGTTTTGTTGTGATAATGCGCTCGTGAAGGGAGAGCGAGGTAAAGCTCGGGTTACAACATTATCCAGCCGGGGTACCAGAGAATTACGATGGGTTTGGATCTTTGTTTTATCTACGCCGGATATTACCAGCGTCGCATTCTCTAGATAGGGGATCTAGATTTATGCGACCCGATGCTAAAGTCGGACCTACGATACTCGCATGTCCATTGTGCTAGACAACTCCGGCGTTAATTCGTTATCCCGGCCGCCACTCCTTTTTACTCATCACGGTTTAACCGTGCTCTTTCTATCAGCCGTCTTATCCGACCATCTAAATTAGTTCGAGAGTCATTTTTACTATCGAACCACGCCGTATCCGCGATACAGTTACACCAGTTAATTCAACGTCTCTAGTTCAAATTTCCAGTTTCAATTTCCCTCTACTATCGACGATTCATAAATGAAACCTAAGAAAAGAAAAAGGTAGCAATACTCACGTATATTTCTTCCCTCGTGTGTGATCGTTTTCTCGTGCATCAACGTGTCTGCTAGTAAAAACGCGTTCTCCTCGAGTCCGATCAATAGTGAGGTCGCGACTCTCATCTGTTCCTGATGGCTCAGGTCCTTCCACGATGCCATTTGCGCTTTGTCCAGCAGGTTGCTACCTGTCCTTACCACACCTTGCAACAATTCAGTCACACTGACCTCCCTTTGATTCGAATCCTGATACGTCCTTATATCCTGCGCCATCTTCTCGGCCATGTTCTTGATGATCTTAGTCGTGATCATCATATCACCACCGTAGAGACCTCTGCTGTTGTTGGTCACCTGTGACAGCTCACGACTGATTCCAAGGATCACGTCACCCTCTGTCACCCTGTTCTCAAGCGTGGTGAGCCAAACGGAGCGACACTCGCTTAGATCCGGACTGTCCCGTAGCCAGAAGGCCGTGTCGCCTCTGGCCAAGCATCTCCACCGCGCCAAACCGTTGGCACCGCCTGGACAACTCTGCACAGCCACGTCGCCAGCCTTGGTCGTGTTCCACGACAGGTTCCTGGCTATCACCGGGGGACACACTTGTCTACCATAGTCGTACCATTGGCCATTCGAGCTGGACTCCGGGTACAGCGTGCTCGGCACTGGAATATTTGAGTTAGTTACGAGCGTTAGTTGGCCTGTTACTTGGCTTTAGTTAATGGCGCGGGCTTTAATGTGATTCTAGTGTCCAGTCCCCTTGGTGGACCTAGGGGCTTAGCGCGCGTGCAACATAGTATCGGGTCTGTGAAATGGAATTTTGGATACCCAGGGGTGCCCTAATCTTTTGCGGTGATTGTTACGAGTTTCGCGAGCTACATCCAAGTCGAAGGCTTTCTACCCTCGTTGTTACGATTTATACCGTTGCTTCGCGGTTATTTGCTCCGCTGTTTTAACGCGAACTTGCATTTACACGTAATCCCTGTAGACTCTAGGAACACTAGGGTAATTTAATAGAAAAAACAGAGAATGTGAAAGAACAAGGAAGTAGCTACAGGTCGATTTCGGATATCTTTGTAAAGTTTCATCGATCGTCGCGATAACCAAGCTCTGGCAGCTACCTTTTGAACGTTAACCCTTTCGGTATACGCGATCGTTGAGTGTAATTGACAGCCGACAAGCCCTCGAGCGAACGAGCTTCGTCGACTCTAATCGACGGGTGATAGTTTGAATCGGCTAGACACGTTTACCCGGATAAGTCTTGCTTAAACGATGGATTAATAGTTAATTAAATCAACGATTCGTCGTTTCACCTCTTGCTCTTTAAGCTGCACGCGATCATCGCGGAATCGAAAAGCAATTAGCGTTCTTCTCTTCTGATCGTAGGTTCCCGTCTCTCTACTACCGATGTTAAAATAAACGATACACACGGTGCTCTCTTTATCAAAACGCCATCAACGCTGTTTCCCCCTGTTTAAGAAGGCCGTTCAAACACTCGAGAACTTACCAGTGGTCCTTCGACTCGTTCTCCAAGAGGCAAAGGTCGACGTGGTTGTGGCCGGAGTGGTTTCAAGAACGATCGGTGGCACCGCAGGTCCGTTCGCAGACGGAACGTTCGGGGGAAGTATTAAGTCTTGGTCCACTTCGACGTCCTCCATATCGACCGACGACCTCGTCGACGTTGGACTGCAAAATGGAAGGAGGTCTCTGTCACTTTCAATGGCGTTCGTGGCCGTCGAACTTCGTCGCAAGACCGACGCTGTTTCCCCCGTGTAACGGTGTAACGAAAATATTTCCACGCCGTTAGAGCGTAATACAATTCCCCCCGCTTTTAATGGAACGTTTCGATAACTTTGTTTTTCCTAGCTGACGTCCAAAGAATATCCTACCGCCCGCGTGACAAAGTTACGTGATCACTGTTCAACCAACGCTATATTACTTTACCATCTATTCGAGAAAATATTATGACTTCTTCCCTGGTATTATTAAAAACTTCTATAAACCGTCGTTCGCTTCGTGTACAAGCTGCTTCAAAAGCGCTCGTTGAAGAAAATGAAAAAGTCTCGACTAACATATTCCAGAGATATCGAACGTCAATATTCACTGAAACTTGCTTTCGTTTCTTGCAACGAGTTCAAATAACCTTTCGAAACACCCTGTACGCAAGGTAAGAAGTTTCCTCATGGTCAAATAAAAAAATAAATATCTCTAACCCTTTGCACTCCGCTATCGCTACTCTTATCAGTGCTGTTACGGTGCAATCGCCAAAATTCAAGCGATCATTTCTGCAGGTACCATACCATATAGATACAATTTTAAGATATAAAATTCACGTTTTACTTATATTTGTTTCGCTGCAAAGATATGCTGGTCGGTCGCTTCAAAGAATACTCCGAGTGCAAAGGGTTAAAAAAGCGCCGCGCGAGAAGCGACTAAAGTATACTGACCTTGGGGTGGTGGTTATTGGAAGCGCCGGGGTGGACGGTGCTGGCGGCTGCGGCGGCTGTTGTGCCGGGGGTGTGGTAATCCTAGAGGGAGGCCTGACAGTCGGCTTAGCCGTGCTCCAAACGCTCGGCTGAGAAGTCATGAACCACGGTGGACTCGGACGGGACGTTGTCGTGGTTGTTGCCGCTGCAAGTGTTTCGTCGGGTTCGTTTTAACTCTCGGAGAAGGGAGAGACGCGATGGGGGGAGGGGCGATGGCGAAACACGCGGAAAGGAGAGACGCCAGCTTTCGGGGAGGGTTGCTCGAGGATCCTGAGAGCTCGTCTACGAGCTTATCGGATTCGAACGCCGGGTATAATTAAGAAGGAAAGTGATTTGAGGAGCTCCGGAGCTCCAGACCCGGCTAGACGAGCTCCTTACCCCGACGGCTCAAACGACCAGGGATATTTTAAACCTCGTTGCAGACGAGGGCAGTAAGGATCAATCTCTCGCTGATTCTCATCGAAACGTTTCCTCTCTCTTACGGCCAGAAAATAGCGGGAGCACTTTGTTTCACGTGAAACTATATACCGCGTCTCCTCCACGGCGGAGGGGAACCTCTTTAAACGAAACGATTCGAGCGGAGCTTGCCTTTTAGATTCCGTCGCGTTCTCAACGTTCAACGAGATATTTAATCACCGCGACGGTGATTTTACGATGCTTTCCTTATTAAGTCAATTGATCTCGAATGACAAAGAAAAAAGAAAAAACGAAGTAATTTACTACTTTATTGTCTCCGTCTCTTTATTTCACGAACACTAAGCTATCGATATCGCGAACATCGATCAGATTCGGAATATCGAGAAACGACAAACGATCGGTGCTCCTAGAACGCGACAATTGTATTCTCTACGAGCGTCCAGGCCCATTCCGGGATTTCCCGTATCTCCAACTATCCCCGTCTACATATACACGTACACACGTTCCACAACGGACAGACGTCCTTTGGTCCCGATGTTTCAATGCCTCGAGTGGGACAATCGTTGCGAAGCATCGATCCGCGACAGAAATATTTCCCGAAAACGAAATGCTCGACGGGCGAACCGGGCGAGAGCCGTGCCACGAGATTAGCCTACCTTCGCGGCTGATATCGCGACTATATCTGGCCTAAGAGGAGAAAACGATCTTTAACCTAAGATGGCGACGGCAGTTAATCCCTGAACGAGATGGTCCGCGTATTTCGCGGTACTATCTCTATAGGGGTCATCTTTATTGGCCGAAGGGGTTGGGCGATAAGGTAAAATACCGGACGTCGCCGATGTCCGTTACCGATAGTCGGCGAGAGAAAGACGGGTTGTATGCAACCGTCGAGAGTAACGGAAGAGAGACAGAGATGGTTTTGCGCTCGGTGGTATCGGGGCTACCTACCAACGGATTCAACTCCCTCCGGTTGAATATACGTCGGTGCCCCGAGACCGATCTATCCCGAGACTCCTGGATATCGATCACAAAGAGGACGAGGCTTTTGGAAGCCGTGAAAGGCAAACAGAGAGGTAGAGAGCAAGGGGGTTGACAGTTTATGGTCCAATAAGTGATTGTGTCGCCCGGTGGTTTCGGTAGGTCGTAACCAGTGGGTGTTAAAGTCGGAAGATCGGGAAAGTCACCTTCGCTAGTTCTAGCCGTTGGTTAAGTCTGTTTGAACGTCGTAAACTGTTCAAACACTGGATATACGGGGAAGTTACCGCACCTAGTAGACGCGTGCGTCACCGAGAATGATGATTTTCCAAAGGGAGATTCGTAGGTGAAAATGATGACCTTTCGGGATCAGTCGTAAACGTTCAACTGACTTTTCACAGATATATTCAGTGGGTGAAAGTCGGCGTTTCTATGAGTTGAAAATGTCAAGTTACCTCTCGAGAAAGAGAGAAAGAGAGAGGTGGAGATTATAAAAGAAAAACGTAAAGCATGACGTTATAAGTAGGCAAACAGCCAACAGTGAAACTGATACGGCTATTAATAATTGATCGGAGGCAAATTAACCGGAGGACGTGATGCAGATTCACAATAACGTACCGAGACGCGGTTTCGTCACAGTTGAATCGCAGTATCATCGAGCGTAACGATCGATGCTCACAGCAATCCCTCCTTGAGTTCGTTCTTTATCTCTCTCTCTTTCTCTCTGCTTGTACCGTTTGCTCTTGTTGGGCCGTAGAAGTGTTTCATTACGATACGAAACACGTCAGAAAAGTTGGACGCGTGTTCCTCGCGTTACCGATCCCTACGATCGATTTCTCGATCGCAAAGATCACGTCTTCGCGAACTCCTCCACCTCTCTCTCTCTCTCTCTCTCTCTCTATCTGACTTCTCTTTGCCATCTTTTCTTTTCTCCACTTTATACTCCGTCTGTCTCGAGAGTGCATAGCCGATGCAAGCCGCTGGAAGATCTTTATCGGGACACGGGCTCGCAGTTACGTGGGCAACGTGAATCATAAGCGCCGACTTCGGGAAATTCTAATCGATTCTCGCGGTCAGCCGGGCAGCTTCTTGCCCGTCCGCGTTCTCCTGCGGATTCTCCTGAAAAAGCGAATCTCGAGCGGTTTTTCGTCCGGAAAACGAGAATCTTGAGGAACGGAGAGGATCGTTTCGTTGGAATGCGTTCGTAAAAAGCGGCTGCTTGAATTTATACGCGGTAGACGGGAACGAATATCAATTTTGGGAAAAAAAACCAACAATTTAACCGGTTTCGCGGCTACAAGAAGATTATCAAATTTCGTCGAAAAAACAATAATCACATTTTCTCGATAAATAGCGAATAACTTTACGAGATAAAATTTTGAACAAAAACTGCATGTCTGTAATTTTAAAAGGAAACATAAATATTAACATTCGAATATGTAAAAAACGATAAAAAATGACGTTTGAATATTTTCGAACAATTTCTTCTGGCGTTCGTGTATCCTGAAAAGGACCGCGAAGCCGGCGCCTATGGGATCGTTCGCCGGTATCTACGGAAGACCGCTCGTAGAATAAACGATACAGGGTACAGAGATATTACGAAGGGCTGGGCGCGTACAAAAATGAACGAGTCTTACTTACCGGACACGCAACGATAGTGCGCCTCGAGGTACTTGTGCGTGTTGGGACAGGGATCGCCGAATTGCAGCGTCGACGCAACAATGCTGCAGTTCTGCTGGTCGTTGCACCTGGGTTTCGATCGATCGGTTAACATGACAAATGTACACCCTTACCAAAGTGTACCGAACCATGGATCCTGTCCCTTTTTCTCTTACCGTCGTGGATGCTCGAGGAAGGAATACGCGAAATCGAGAGACTTTTTCGACCAACCTCGTACCTTTTCGTTGCTTATCTTTTACCTCTTTTCTGGTTCGCACGCCTTATTCCAAGACATTCGAAAGATTTCAGCAAAAAAAAAAAAATATTCTCAATCGATTGAATTTAGAGTTTATCCAGTAGCCTTGGAAGAATCGTGGACCTGTATAATTGTGTGTATTTCGTCGACGAAGGAAGATTCATCGATCGAGAAGAAAAGTGTTCACCAACCTAGGCAATGGTACTGCACCTCGATGTATTTTCCGGTTCCGGGACACGGGTCCTCCTCGAAAATCTCGCTGCACACGTCCACCGAACAGGAATTACGATAATTGCACCTGCAATCGTCACGTGAGCAAGAGTGTCACCCCAGGGGACAATAACAAGTCACGAAGATTCGATGAAATGAGCTTTTCTTATTTTTAACGAGAATCAATGGCGCCGATGAGAGGTGAACTGGCGATTCTTGAAGGTGCGTCCTCTGGCATTGAATTCCGATTTCTTTTTTTCTTTCGGTTTTATTGTTAGATGTTATTTACACAATCGGACAGTTTTTTAAGCGTTCGCTTCGAATGCTTTCGTCAATGTAGAAACATTCGAAAATTCGAGGTTCGAACTTTTTGTGTTTTTTTTTTTTTTTGAAACTCTCGAATAAATCCGGCTGAAGCTTTCGACGAGCCGCGACAGCGTTTGCGGAGGATGTTAGTAACAAGAGATATTCGATACTCGCGTGGTACACGGTGTTAGCAAGTGACAACAGGACAATGAGTTAGTAGAAACAGGGGTTTGCAGTAGTTCTAAAAAGCGCAGTATGCATTCGTGGTAGGGCAGATGAACTCGTATTCGCGCGACGTGATGCGTCGATTTCGTGTTCATGGTACCACGGTGTGTATGTACAGAGATACGAGTATCATGCAGAAAAAAAAACCTGTATCCTAAAATTGTCCTACTACTCCTCCATATCGTCGCGTTTCTTCTCCCAGAAAAAACAATTCATATCGAACACGTTCGCGTTGGACGAGCGAAATTGACCGATTTCTCGAGTAATCGCGAGACTGTATTAGCATGAAGCATACTCGACGAACAAACGCGAAAGTATCGGTCCCACGAAATAGTAAACTTTCGAGGGTAATTCTACGTTACAGTCCCCCCCCCCTTTTCTTCCGAGCAGTACTTTACGAGAGCCTTCTTCGTTAAAGAGTACCTTATTGCTGGATTCGCGGAGGAGAACTCTTAAAGCTTTCGCCTCTCACAAAGTACAATGGAACGGGGAAACGTGTTCGTGCTTTGCGCTCGCGCGAGCCCTCGTGAGTTTTCCTTCTTCAACGTCCCAGCTACGGTTTTTTTACTTATTTCCGAATCTCCAATCACTTCAAAGATGTTTTCTCTCGATTCTATTTCGGTCGACGTTGCGTCGTTGTTCGCGCGGATCGTTGGTCATTTGCTTTCAAATGAACGGTAATCGCCTTATCGGCGAAAGGAGCTTTCGTCTCTTAAAACAAAATCGTTTCATTAAAAATAAATCGATGAATTAAACGCGACCTTTTCTCCCTTCCTCGACTCTGCCGGCTCCAGCAAACCGTCCCTCTATACCCGCGCCACTTCAGACGAAGCAAGAAAGTGCCGGCCCCCGGGTTTTTTTTAATGCTATTACAAAAATCCCGTTGACGCGAAGAAACGGAAAAGGGAGAAACGCTCGTAACGAACCGATCGATGACGCGGAAGTGCGCTCGACTTAATGATCAGTTACCGTCGAAACGCGTATTAATTAATGCTCTACACAGTTCGCGTGCAACTGTGTGTTTTCCAGAGTAGAATCAATCTTTTCAATCCTGGCTGAATATTACTCTTTTCCTTTTTTTTACGTTCCTTGTAGTAACTAATATCGGAGATTCATGACGCGTCTCTCCGTCAAAGCTTCTGCGCATTTTTAATCACCGTTACGAATACAAGCTTCGATTCCTTGCTTCAAAAGGAAGATTAACGGTATTCACTGGCAATTGAAAGATACCAAAGTATCCACTGGTCTATGTTCCAACTCTTTCCAATCTTTCCCGTGAAATCGTACGCAAACTTGAAGATGAACGCGAGCGTGGCCACAAATTCCCCAGTTTGAACGCGGTCAAACAAAACGCGAAGTGTTGCCTCCTCGATCCCGCGGTGAACTCGTCTCTCTTCGACCCGACCGCGACGCCGCCGCCGCTTCCTTTCTGCATAATACACGCACACGGGGGCCGCCTTAGAATCGGCAAGGTGTGCACAGTTTAATCTCGATCGGGGGCGAGCCATTAAAGCGAGTGCACGGCCCATTGTTAGCCGGGAGGAGCGGTGTGCAGGTGCAAAGCCCACACACGGCCTGTTATCGGTCCTCGTGGCAGCCACTATTTCGGAGGATTAACCGACCTACGCCGCTTCTGCACGTGGAAATTTCGCGCGGTCGCAATCCAGCCGGGTTCTCTCCTCCTCTTCGAAACACTTTCTTTCCTCTTTCTTCTTATTTTTCTTCTTCTCTTTCTTCCGTCAAAGTTGCCGGAAACACGGATTTTCCGGAGGCGTGAACACGACGAACGAACGAACAACAACGGAGGAAAAGTAGAGAAAAAGAGAAACGTTCCTTCGAGCGGGAAGGATTAATTCGCACGACGACAATCGATCGCACGCGCGAGAGAGAGAGAGAGAGGGGCGAAAGGGCGGAATTCCCGTTGACTTTGCAAGGGCCCCGCCACGTCAATTTGTCGTGATTCGAGTGGCGTGTATCGACAGGCCACCGGGAACTTCTGGTTACTCCGCGTAATTGGCCCCGCTCGTAGATTACTATGTTACAGGGGAAGAAAGCAGGACTGAAGCGTTCCTGTTATCGACAATCCGGCTCGATTCTCGGTTCTCGCCCCTCGCGCTCACCCCTTTCGTCAAAGTTTGTCTCGAGGCTACGATATCTTTCGTTAATGTTCCCTTAACGTACGAAGAAAATTAACGCGACTTTCGCTGGGACTTGTAAACGAATTTCGAAAATCGTCGAATATTCCTTCTTCTTTATCTAGTGAAAATTCGACGAGAAAAGTAACGTTAACCCTTTCGTTGCCAATAAAAAAAGCGTGACTCGTAGAAAGTCTAATTTTTTCATCTTAATAGCTTCATTTTTTGTGGTTGATTCAAAGATTTTTCTTAATTTTTTAAAAAGAAGCTTCGATTAATCTCAGAATATGTTCTTTTCGGCTTTAAGTGTTCCACGAAGTCACTCATTACTCAAATTTAAAAATGAAAAAAAATATTGAAAACTAATACCGTTAATAAGTACCGCGTCAAAAGAAATTTGAAAAAAAAAACGCTGATCACCTTAGGCATGACAAATGAATTCGCGGTTACGTCGATCGACAACGAAAGGGTTAAACGAAGGAAAAAAAATTAACGAATAAACCGAAGAAGCTATTTTTACCGGAGTAATTTTTAACGAACAAGGGATTCGTGTATTTCTTTTCCCTACTCTCGTTCGTGTCGCGATGACGTCGCTCCCCCTTTTCGTCAGGGATCGTCCTTCTGGCCGCACGCGCGCGCTACCTACCTACCACCGAATAGAACCGGCGGCGAGGGTAAACGTAATTTCAGACGGATAAACTACGAGTGAACACGAAAAATCGCCATTTCGCGGATGTTGCGCCGCTCGTTATTAAGGCCTTCGGTTTCCTTCGCCCTCTCCCCTTTCCGCTCCCACTGCCGCAAACCACTTCCATCGGTTCGTTTCCATCTGACGGTCGCGTTTGCGCGTCGTATCGCGCGACTGCTGCCCGTGTGCTTTAATCATCGATTTCACGATGATTCAGAGGGCCTTCCGTCTCGCGTGGGCCGGCCCGGATTTAATACGTTTCGACCGGTTCACGGCTCGCCCCGTCATTTATCTGCTCGAACCACTGTTATTTTTTCGCATGGTCCGACGTTTCGCTGCACGTGAAAGGAGTTTCAGCAACGAAAAGCCCGCCGGCACGACGTTTCGAACGTTTCACGGTGAATCTGGTATAAAGAAACACGTATAATCTATGCATGAAATTTTTGATAGATACCGCGTCGGTTTAATGATCGTTTTGCACGTTACAAAAGGCTCGCGATGTTTATGGTACTGCGTGAAAAATTTCAATTTTCACGAGTTTCCTTTTTTTTCTATCTCGCTTCGTATATACGGTTCTCTATAACCAATCGATGTTTTAAATAATATTTTTAGCAGGCGAAGCGAAGTAGATTGTTGCTCGTAATAGACGATCGACAGATATATTTACAGAGAGAAAAAAGTGTAACCCACGAAAGATAATCGACGATGAGTGCGATTACTGAATTGCAGTGAATAGAATAGAATAAAGAATAGAAGTGGAATTGAACGGTGAGTTTAAAGTAGGTAATATACAAAAGTCCGACTGTTCGGAATGTGTAATTCACGCGATACGAAAGAAACCGCGGAATATTTTCATGAATTTTTGTCTACCGTTTCCCGAACAATTGCTTTACTATGCATGCTTAGGCACAGGGTCGCGCGCAGAGTCGTTCATCTTTGTGAATTTAACACCTTCAAACACAGTCCTATTTACATTTCACGATATGGAAAATTTATCGTTATACATACGGTGTGCCTCAGGACGGCTTTAATAATTCACGGCGATTTCAAGCGGCCACCGAAATGTCGGGTGCAAATGTAATAACGCGTACATCAAATAACCGGATGTCCGTCAAAAACCGGCTTAAAGGTTTAAACAGTAAAAATACTTGCTCGAGTACGGAAGAAAAGGAAACGATTAAAAAATTCGTTTCCCCTTTGCCGGTAGAGGAGACGGCCCATTAAAAATCACCGATTCGATCTTAGCCGCTAAATAAAACTGGAACTTAA